TCCCTTCTGTCGCCCCCCCCCCCCCCCCCCCCGCTCCCCAACTAGGCTGGCGGGTGGGGGATACCCTCCCCCAGCCCTGAAAGCCACCTGGGGCTCATCCCGCATGGGGCGGAGGGCCTGATTCATTTGCCCCGTGTGACGGGGGCTCCTTGCTACACCTGCTGCTCTCCCGTGCTGGTACCAAGCTGGGGCTGCCTGCTCCTGTCACTCCGCTGGCTCTCCAGGTGACCGCTCTGCCACTCACTTGCTCTGGGCGCTGGGTCTTGGCTTCTGCCTGGAACCCAATATTCAAGTTCAAGCCTCGCCTGCTCCGCCAGCCCAGGCCAGGGCTCCTGTGGCCAGCGGGGTCTGCCCCGGACAGGGCCAGGTGGAAAACCTCGCAGCTCCTCTTTTCCCTAGGCAGAGCGGGCCTGGGAGGCCCAGCAGCTCCGGGAGAGGGCAGAGAAGCCAAGGGACCAAAGGGTAGGACTGACCCCGTCCCCCTGAGGCCCTCCACCTCTGCTGGCTGGAGCCCAGGACCCAGAAGGCTCGTAGGGAATAGCAGGCACCATGGTTCTCACTGCCTGCCTGGGGTTCTCAGACATTTGAGGAGCCTGGTATGCGGACAGTGGGTGACTGTCCCTCCCACGGCTCTGTACGTGTGAACATGTGTGTGTGCGCGTGCCTGTGTGTTGTGTGTACGGTACATGAACCTACCTGGTACACAGCTGCACAGCGCCCTGGGGGTTAAGTTCTGGTGGCTGTGCACACTCACATGCCACACACGTGGCTTGCTGCAGCTGCTTGTGAAATGCACTTTGAAAACCTGCCACACGGGCCAATTTTTCACAGACAGCTTCTGGAAGCTCGGTCTGTGACTTTGGGTGTCCCTGTACATGCTGGCTGCACAGCCTGGGGGTGGGGGAAGCTGCTGGGTGGGGACTCCAGCTGGTGGGGATGCTGGGGTGTCTCTCCGAGGCTTCCACAGCCCAGGCAGACTGTCGACCATCCCCGCTGGGCTCCAACCTCCTGACCAGGGTCCCCAGAGCAGCGCACGTGCCCTGTGGCCTCGGCAGTGCCATTTCCTGAACGTCCTTCCCGAGCTGACGGCGTGCGGCCTGTAGAGGAAACCTATGCGTTTTCATCCGTGACGCCTCACGCTCGGCCTAAAGAACACGGCGAGAGCCACGGCTGCACCTGCGGGGAGCCCCGACGCCGCCCGGGCACTGCGTGCACATGGAGATGCACTTGGAGGCTGGGGGGGTGAGAGTGGTGCAGCAAGCAGGGATTCAGGCAGCTCCTGGGTGGGCCAGACCCCATGTACAGCGTTGTCACAGGTTCAGACGCATGAGGGGCCTTAGGGGCCAGAGGCAGGTCCAGGGCCCCAGGCAGAGGAAGACCCTGATGGGTCCCTGGTCCCAGAGGCAGTGACATTCACCCGGGGAACTGAGAGTGGAAAAGCACGGTGAACCCCCAGGGCCACCTCTCACATGCTCGCATGCTCACTCCTCGGGGTCTGGTCTGGGCTCTGGCTTCTGTGCACACCATCCTCGGTGCACGGGAGCCGACGGCTACATGGGGATGTGTGCTGGCCGCAGCAGCTCCCTCCCCTGCAGGCCTGTGCTCTGGCCCTGCTGCCCTTTCACAGCCTGGGCTGACGCCCACCTGGGCTATCCACGTCCAGGTCAGGTCCCTCGGTCCTGTGCCCCTGCCCGCTCCCGGGGCCATCCCTGCATCCCAGCCTATTCACAGGGCGATCGTGGCCCCGCCCAGCAGCGTCAAGCCTTGCAGCCTTGCCGGGCTGCGCTGCAGTGTCTCCAACAGTGGAGCCCCGGCTCCGTGCTGGCGTCTGTGCCGCGGCCTCGGTGGGTATCCATCAGGCTGAGCTGGGAGGTCTCATGGCCCGAAAGATGCTGTCCGTGGGCACCAGGACAGCAAGGGCCACCCTGAGCTTCCAGCTGCAGGTGAAGCCAGCACCCAGGCCCCTCCTAGCCTGCACCACTCGCGCCCTCTGACACTGGTTGCTTCCCCCTCGCTGGCACATCATGCCAATCAAAGGAGAAACACCTGTATGCACTTGGCTTTCGTGGGTGCTCAGGGGGGCGTCCCTCATCTGGGGGGCAGAAAGATGACCTGGGAGAAGCCAGCCTGCCCCAGAACCAGCTGTGCTCCCAGGAGGGGAGGTGACCCTGAGGCTGGCTATGTTCCTGGAGGGCAGTGCCACCTTGTTAGGGCTTCCTGTGAGGGTCATTGAGGGACTTGTTCTGGGTGACTCTGTCGGGTGCCAAGGGCTCCCCAGGACCATCTTGCCTGCTTGGGTGAAAGGTGGGTAGCCCCCAAGGACCTCTGGGTTGCATGACCCTGTAGCAGCCCACAAGGTGCTCAGGCAGCAGTCGGGGATGGGGTTTGTCAGGACGTGACCCCGCTGGAGGGCGGGCCAGCCCTCCCGTTCTGTGTGTCCACTGTGTGCGGTCAGTGCCTGGCACTGGAAGTGGCTACTTGGTAAATATTTGCCAATTGCGAGTGTGATCAGACCGCCTAGTTCCGGCCCGTCCCTCTCCAGGCCAGGAAGTGGGCAGGGCCTCCGTGCAGCACTGCAGGGCACACAGCAGCTCTGCACCACGTGCGCCTGGCGCAGATGTGCCCCTGGCACAGAGCTGCCGGCCTGCGGGTTGACACCTCCAGGTGGGTTTCTGGTGGCAGCGTCAGCTGCCTGCAGTCACACCTGTGGGCCATCACCGCACGTGGACACAGTCTGAGAGGGCGCACAGTCCACGGAAACTCCAGGGGCTTTGGGGCGGGAGGAGACAGCAGGCCCTGCAGCTCCCCTGCCTCCCTGTTTGCTCTGACACGAGCAAGGAGGCAGGTGCTGGTGGTCCTGCAGGGACAGTGTCAGCCTGGCCCTGTGCACCCTGAGCATGCCCTCCTGCAGGTCTCCTTGCGGAGCCCGCCTGCTGTGGCCCCAGCCTGTTTGCCTGTGCTACTGCCTTTCCCATGGCCTGGTCTGCAGCAGAGACACGTGTCCCTGGATAGCTGCTGCTCTGGGACATTGCACCAAGCAGCGGCTGTGCCGTATGCCCCCAGACCCCTGAGGACCCCTCGGCGGCCTATGGCCAGGGGAGCAGCCTCCACAGCCCCTTCCCTTTGGGAACCTGGGGCCACGCTGTTGACCTGGGTCCCATTTTGCTTAATTGCGTGGCATTGGGCAACGGTGCCTCTCACGGTCAGAGGGCTCGTGGCCCCCACTGAGGCCCATCTGCCTTGGGATGGGCTCAACAGCCCACTGGCCTGGGTCCAACCAGGCTGGGTCAGTGGCGGCTGGCGTGTGTGAGCGAGGGTCACGTGTGAAGGCACTTGAGGCGGAGACTCGCACACACTGGCTCTTGCTGGCTCTTCTGTTGGGGACGTCTGCCGCGAGGCAGGCATTTGGGGTCTTCTCAGGGGTGCCTGGCATTTCGTGCTGAGACCTGGAGGCCTTGTTGTGATGGAATTCACTCTTCTCTGCCGTCCAGTTGGCCCCCTGGCCCCCTCAGCTGTGGTCGTGGACTTCCCTGGGTAGCAGACAATGGTCCTGTGCATGGCCTGTTAGGGTTGGGCTCTGTGGCCCAGGTGGCGAGTGGTGGGGATGAAGTCTAACTCCCTTCTCCCTGCTGTCCTGCCCCCCCAAGGGGACGTCCTCTTCCAGATGGCTGAAGTACACAGGCAGATCCAGAGTCAGCTGGAAGAAATGGTGAGTCAGCCCCTGGTGTGGCCTGGGTGAAGGTGCAGCCACAGCAGGGGAGGGCTGAACACACTGTGGCCTGGAAGCAGTGTCGGCCCCGTGGACACACTCGGACACACAGGGACAGTCACAGGAACCTAGGGACCTGGGCTCGTGTGGCTGGGGGTGCCTGGGAGGCCTTGGCTGGGTGTCCCCCTCCATGCGCTGTGGGGACAGTGCCCGGAAGTCGGATTTCTTTTGGGCTGTCTCTGCGTGCACTGCAGGTGGACCTGCTCGCTGTGCCCCCAGACCAGAGCACGTGGGGCCCCGGCCTGTAGCTCCCTCCCTGTCAGCCAGGGCTCCGTGTGCTGTGGCATAGACGGAGATCACAGGGAGGCCACCTCTATCCCCCGTGAGGAGTGGAGCCTTGGTGCTGTGACAGGCCGGGGTCGTCCGATGGTCGCTCCTCAGACGTGGGGCCACGAAGCTTAGTGGCTTGTTGGTCAGGGGCCCGTCCGTGCCCACATGCCCAGCGCCCTGCAGCTCACGCCGTGCTGTGGGCTGTGCCCCCCTAGCGGGCCGAGCTGAACGCTGTGTCCTCCTCTTGCACAGCTGAAGTCTTTCCACAACGAGCTGCTCACACAGCTGGAGCAGAAGGTGGAGCTGGACTCCCGGTACCTGAGCGTAAGTCCACCTCTGCACCGCGTCCTCCTCTCACTTTCGACGTGCCTCTCCTGGCCGAAGGGCGTTGGCCTCCCCAAGCTTCCCCCAGGGGCCCTGGTCTTCCGACCCTGTTGCCATCTGATGCCCCCACCCCCACCCCGTGGTGCCCTGCGGCCTCCTGGCTGTTGACAGTGTGGCTGTCAATCCACCCTCTGCCTGCTGGAGCCGGCCCACTGTGGTGATGGGAGTCACTCTGGCTCTGAGCAGTCGGGGGGAGTGCTGTCCCTGCACCCCGTTCTCGCCACAGTGCTGCCACAGGGGACCGTGGTCGTGCACCTGGCAGGACCCACCATCCCGGGGGCCGGGAGGGGCGCGTGGCCCCTGCATGCTCACGGCCACGGTGCGGCTGTGGTGTGTGGCTCGCAGGCTGCGCTGAAGAAGTACCAGACAGAGCAGAGGAACAAAGGGGACGCCCTGGACAAGTGTCAGGCCGAGCTGAAGAAGCTGCGCAAGAAGAGCCAGGGCAGCAAGAACCCACAGAAGTACTCGGATAAGGAGCTCCAGGTAGGACGAGGCCTGCAGCCCACGTGGGGACGCCTTCCACGCGCGTTTTCTCCCGCACGGCACTGCTGCGGGGAGCAGACGGCCTCGGGTGTGCCTGGGCCGAGGCAGCTCCGCCCACTGGTGCGCGTCCAGAGCAGTGAGTGCCTGATGCCTCGCGCTGTGCGGTGGCCGACGCAGCCCACGGCTCCCCCTGCCCTGCCCTCCGTAACCTCCCAGGTGCTGGAGGGCCTCAGCCACAGGAGCAAGAGCCCAGATGGCGCATGCCCTCTGGTCCCCTGATTCCGGATCTTCCCAACCAGTTTGGGACCCAGCCCGGGTGGGGTCAGAGTCGAGGTGGTGGCTAGGAGCTAGTGGTTGGCACCGGAGGCACCCGAGGGCCCAGCTCCAGTACTGTCTCTTGCTGACACGCCACGGCCGCAGGCTCAGCTCTGGGCCCGCTCACTGGGTCACGGTTACGTCCAGGAGTGAAGGCGAGGCAGGACGCCCCGTGTTTGCAGAGGAGGCAGAGGTGCCAGCAGGCCACTGAGTAGAGGCGGGAAGTGCCCAGGCGGGCATGGCGTGGCTGCCCCTCCCAGGCCGCCAGCCCCACCCTTCCTGGGGCAGGCCTGGACCAGCCTCGGCACACCTGCTCGGAAGTATGAGAGTGTGTGCGGGGTGCCCATGGTGCTGGGGGACACCACAAGGGCCTATTCGGAGCACTGACCCCCTCTCAAGCTTGTGAAGCAGTGGGGCAGATCTGCCTGTGGCCTGCGGTCAGCCCAGCCTCGGCAAGCAGGGACCAAGGAGGCGCGAGCCAGTGTTGGCCCAGGGGGCAGGACGGCCCGGGCAGTGGCAGATGAGTGACCGAGGGACCGAGCCCCCTGTGCATCGCAGGGAGGGGTCCCCTGCTGCCCGCAGGCATGCTCGTTCATGGTCCCCACCCCTTCGCCCTGCCTTGCCTGCACCAGGTACACTTGCCCGTGACTGCTGTCTGTCCTGATCTCTCTGAGGCTGCTGCAGCCGGCCCGGAGAGCCGGTCTGGGGTTCGGGCGGAGGGGCCGCGGGGCCGAGGAGCCCAGCCTCGCAGTGCACACCCGGTGCTCATGTCCGGACTGCCGACGTGTGTAGCTGTTTTGCTTTCTTGGAGCCTCGACCAGTGGGCAGTGCCTTACTGCCTGGGAAGGCAGCAGCTGCCTCTGTATAGGGGTGACCAGGGCACCTCCTGAGCAGCGGGCGTGCCTCAGGGGATGTGGCAAGGCAGTGAGGGGCAGAGAGCCTGTGTCCCCCTTTTCTCGGGGCCTTGCTTACAGCAGGTGACAGCTTTGAGGTGTGACTCTCATACTGCATGGCTCGCAGTCTGCAGAGGGTGACTGAGCGGCCCTGGGAGCCCTGGGAGCCACACAGCCATCACCCCGTCAGGTTTAGGGCACTTCCCAAACCGCCCGCTGCCCGGGCCCTGGTCTGTGCCTGCCTGTGGACACTCTGGACCGTGTGACCTCGGTCTGCCCTTTATAGGCCGTGGCCGCCCTGAACCTCCATCCCCGTTCACGAGGTGTAGAACGACTGGAAGGGCCTACAGGGCCTGGACCGGGCTGGGTGTGCCCGCTCCCACGTACTCGCCCTGTCCTCTGGGTCTCCGAGCCCACCTTCCCCTGCTTGGGGGAAGGCAAGGGGGGGAGCCTGCAGGTCAGGCGGGTACACTGAGGGTCCCTCACCCCTTGCCAACCCTGGATTGGCGGGGGGGGGCCTGCGGTGCGGGAGGCACCTGCCGATGCGCCAGTCTTGCCTTGTCCGCCCGCCCTGCTGGTCCTGCCGGTTGGCAGCACCTTCGCCCACCTGGCCAGGGGCCAGGGTCTGACTCTGTGTCAGGGCGTGGCTGTGGGGCTGGGCAGGCCCCGGGGGCCATTCATGAGCCAGCATCTTCCCGGCCTAGAGAGAAGGGACTGCTGGGTAGGCACAGCCCCAGCTGCCCCACCCTCTCCACAGCTCCACCCCTGTGCAGGGAAAGGCCCCCAGGCCTGGAGGCTCCTCCGTGTTGTCATCGCACGTGGGCTTCCCGGGGCGCCCACAGGTGTGCAGTCCTGAGGGTGGGTTGCTGCATCACCTGGCACAGCGCCTGGCGGTGCCGATCTGGCAGAGCTCTCACCACCGTGCTGGCTCTGCGGGGGCTCATTCACGTGGCCCAGTGGGCACGGACAGGCAGTGCCAGCTTGGTGGTCGCCACCCACTCAGGTGCTGGGAGAGGGGAGGGCACGACAGGGTCCGGCCTGGTCCCTCTGTCAGCGGTGACCGCCCACAGCAGAGCTGGGCCAGAGAGCCTGTGTTTTCAGAAACTGCTCGTAATTGAGACTGCGTTTCGGGATTTCCACAAAAAGACATCATTTTGATGATAGGTCAGGGAGCGAGCGCTTAGCCACATTTGGGGCCTAAACTAGGACAGAAGAGCTTCTTTTTTCAAGACTTCTTTTTGCGTGTACTTGCTGTTGAGAGATAGAAAGTGAGACACCACCCCCCCCACCCGGGTCCCCAGCCTGCCCAGGGCGATGGCCACACTACAGTCCCTTTTCCTCCATTCTCCTCTTGGCATTTTGGGCACGCACCTGGGCTTTGCGTGAGCTTGAAGCCGCCAGGTCCAGGACTCGAACCACGGTCGACTGCGTGGGGAGTCCAGCAATGAAACCCTTAGGCCATCTGCTGGTCCCAGCTAGAAGAGCATTTAAGGAAATGCAGGAGCTGCTCCGAAGCTGCCCTGCCTGTGGTCACCAGTCAGGCAAGGCCCCTCACTGCCCGGACATTTGGCCACAGTGGTGTTTACCGGACAGGAAGTATGTTTGGCCATCCTCTGGGGCAGAGGGGACAGCGGGGTGGAGGACACGCCATGTGCCATGGGCGTGGTGCACAGACCACAAGCGGGTCTTTCTCAGGAAGGGTTGGGAGTACATGGCTGTCTCAGTAGCACTGTGGGGCAGAGCCAGCCTGTGCCCACCTCCCAGCATGTCGCCAGCCCTGTCCCACCTGTGGGAGCCACGAGCCCACCTCTGTGAGGCGTGCCGTGGACATGATGACCCGGGTGTCAGGACCCCCAGGGAGGAGGTCCACCATCTCCAAGGCTGTCGGTTACCCTGGCCCCAGAGCCGCTGGGGTTTTTCTGACTAGAGGGGTGTCCATCCGGGGTGGGGTGGGCAGCAGAGCCTTCTCTCCTAGTTCCTTGCTGTATGGCGTGGCTCCAGTGCCAGTCCTGTCTCTCCGGGTTCTTGTCCTTGCCCAGTGAGCCCAGGGATCTTGGCGAGCCTGTGCCCCCTCCGCAGGGATGCGGGGTGGCGTGGTGCGTGGTCAGGCACCTGTCAGGGTCTCCAGCTTCTGGGGGATTCTGATGTGGCCACTCCCTGACAGCAGTCTCCAGGTTGCTGGAGCAGAGGGTTTACGTGTGTGGTGTGACCGGAGTGCGTGTGCCCCTCCCCTGTAGCTGCTCCCACGTGGCCGACCAGGCAGCACCTGCCACTCAGGCATCGGGGGCTGGCAGCAGGCTTTCTCCAGCCGGCACCCTCGTCCCACTGCCCACGTCCTAGCTCTTGTTTGATGGAGACCAAATGGAAACAGGAGGCCCTCAGACATGACCACTCCTGCTCCGTCCTCACCATGTGGCCCAGCCACTGGGGCCTCTGGCCCTCCCCCTGCCCCTCCAAGGCTGGGGCCGTGGTGCCAGTGCCTGAGGTATTCCCCACCGTCCTCCCTGTGTCCCCACAGTGGGGGTCTGGGGCCTAGGTGGTCCTTCCTAACGCATGTGTGGGCTCCGGGTGCCCGAGCCCGCAGCTGTGCTGGGGCCAGGGAGAGCAGCTGGAGGCTGGAGGGCGGGCTGGTCAGGCACCGGCTCAGCACCCCCCAGGCGGGTGAACCCAGAGGTGAAGGCCTGGAACGTCTCACGTGACCAGTCTTGGGGTCCTTGGGCAGCCGCATCCCAGGCTGCGGATCCCCGCAGAGCCCTCCTGCTGGCCATGTGAGGAGAGCGGGCATCCCAGGTCCAGGGCGGGGTGTTTGCCTCTCAAAGGCCACAGCCCCAGGAATCTTGGTAATGCAGGTCCAGTCCCGTGGAAGTCACACGGAGGAGCAGAGGGCCGTGGTACGTGGGTTTGAGTCCCTGAGGCCCGAACACCCAGGTTGCGGTCTGAGAAAGGGGAGAGATTGAGTCTATTTAAAGGGTGTGTAATTACCCAGGCAAAGACACCCAGGCTCCGATCTTCAGAAGATAATAGCAGAGGCCAGCCCGCCCGCCCCTGCGCTCCAGAGCAGGCGGCCAAGCCTGTTCCAGCGGGGCCCTGCAGCGCTGAAGGCAACTGCGCAGGGCGGGCGGGCCGGCAGGCGGGCAGGCCACAACGGTGCTGTGGCCTGCTCCAGGGTAAAATCTGCTGGGTCCTCCGGAAACATGGCTCTGAGGAACCAGGGCCCCCGGAGCCCTCTGAGGGACCCTTGCCACCCAGAGGGAGAGGGTGGCCACAGGGCCCTCTGCACCCCTGAGCCTCGGAGTTGGACCTTCCCACATTCATCCTCACCCAGCCAGCCCTGCGGTCCTCTGCAACCCCCACCTCCGTGGCTCTGGGGTACAGCTTTGTCCGTGGGCCTCATCACTGTGGGCGTGTTGGCCCTGGTGTGGACCACGTCCCGTGCACTCCTGTGTGCCCCACAGTGCCACGTGGGTGGGGCAGGTGTGTGTGCAGGAGCAGACGGGACTGTGTGGGTTGCTATTGCTAACAAAGGAGGTTCTCTTCCCCCGCCACGTGGGCAAGGGGGTGCCCCTGCGCACAGCCCCAGCCCGACCCTGAACCATCTACACTCATGTCCAGGGCGTGATTGAGGTCCCCTCCTGCTGCTTCTGTGCCTCCTGTGAGCCTGGGGTCCAGCCCCAGCCAGCTCTTCCCTGGGTCACCACCAGGGCCCAGAACTCGAGTGTCAGCTCCTGTTTCCCCTGAGGGTCCCGGCTCATAGGGTGGGAGCTGTCTCTCCAGTGGTGTTAGCTGAAGGCCAAGGCTGGGGACAAGCAGGGCCTGGCAGGTTCCTGAAGTGGGAAGCTGCCGGCGGGCGCGGCGCCTAGTGCCTGGAGGCCCTCCCCCACCCTGAGTCACGGGCTTGCGGGAGAAGAGCCCACTCTGATCACTTTGTCTCCTCGGATTACAGGGCTGTTCAGCCCAGGGTGACTAAGTGGGAGCGTTTTTTGTGGGTCTTAACCGCTCTCAGCTGGGTGTTTCTATAGTGCTGTCGCCATAGCACCCAGCTAGTCAGGAACTGCAGAGGCAGCGGGGAGGGGGTGGGGACGGGGTGGGGACGGGGAGGCTCTGCACTGCTTGGATGGCCTGTCGACAGCGACCAGGGCAGTCTCAGCTTCTGCCCTGACCCCGCACTTTCTAGAAAGTTCAGCTGGCCCATAGCAGGGCACCCCTGTCCACGCAAGGTGGAGCGCCTCATTCAGCCTAGAGTCCCAGGGTCTGCCCAGCAAGGTGGCCCCTTGGTGGGGAGCTGGCGTCCTGGGAAAGGAGGTTGGGCAGTTGGCTGGTGTCCTGGACATGGTGCTGGCCGCTCTGGCACGTTGGGTTCAGGACCCTTGTGGAAGGCGTCGGCATGCCAGGGCCCTGGCAGGTGGGTGAGGGGCCTTCTCCCCTGCCGGCCTCTGGGTGAGGACCCCTGGAGAGCAGCTGGGGTTCTTGCAGCCCTTTCCCTCCACCTCCCCAGCCACGGGACTGTCCCCCCCCTGCCATTCCCAGTGCTTGTTCGCGGAAGTGGAAGTCGCGGGCAGAGCCCCGCTCCCCCACCCCGCTCGGTCCCCTCCCGGGAGCAGAGCGCGTCACTGCCAGGAGACACCACAGCCTACAAACCCAGAACCCACCTGCGGGGCCAGCTGGGCCAGCGCCTGCGTAGAAGGCTGTTCTCAGGGCAGGGCTCAGGGGGCCCGTGTCCCAGTTTACGCCACTTGTTCTGGGGCGACTGTTCTAGGCGTTGTCATTGCTTCTCCGAAGCTCCACGGACTGGCCACACCGCCACGCTCTGGCAGCCCGGGGCCACTCTCCTCTAGCCTTTAGCCCGTCTCCGGATGGGTCTCCCACCTGCTTCACCCTGAGGCCCCTCTGACCCTAGGTTCTGGCATGGTCGTCCGCCATGCCCTTCAGGCCAGGCTGCCAGAGAAGTCCCAGGGAGGGCACACAGGTGGCCCAAGCACAGGCAAGATGGAATTTCTCCTGAGCTCTCCCAGAACTGCCCTATTTGGGGGTCTCAGCACCAAGAGAGCCACTCTGTGTGCCTCAGCGTGAAGCCAGGGACCAAGTGCAGAACCCTCATCCGGGCCTGGCCATTCCATGGAGGGAGGTGCCAGGCATATGTGGGGCCTCCTGAAGACTAAAGGCCAGGGCTGCTGCGGAGGCTGCGGGCGTGCATGTGCTCCCCAGCTCCTCCCGCAGACCCCCACCCCACCATCTCTGGTGACACTCTGGGCCCTCCAGCCCTGCTACCCAAGGGTGGGGATAAGGCTGTAGCATAGGCTTGTGGGGGTGCCCCTGCATCTGTAGGCTCAGCCCCCACTCTCCAGGGAAGGAGCTTTGGCCTGCAGAGAAGAGCAGGAGGCCTGGGTGGGCGTGAGCGCGAGTTGCTAACCAGGAGAAACGGCTCAGGGAGGCTCCACGCCTCCACGTTCGATTCCCGGAGGCTCGCCCGGCGCTTCGCTGTGTCCAGAGAATCAGCAGTGGGGCAGTTCTGGGGTGGGCGGCTGTCCAACTGGCCTGTGGGCACTAACGTTGCCCCTCCCCTGGAGTGGAGAGGCTGTGGTCAAAGCCGAGGGAATGGAGCCGGCCCTGCCCCCAGGGCAGTGTTCAGCTGGCAGGTGGGGCCGCCCAGGGGCAGCCTCAGCGTTGAGGCTGTGTGGGGGCAACGGGAGGGAACAGCCTGCCCTGAGCTCCCCCTCCTGTCACCCCCCCACCTGAGTCAGAGCTGGGCGGAGGAGGCTGCTGAGTCAGGCGGGGGAGGCCACCCCCTTGCTGCCAGACCTGCCGCCTGCTGGAAGACAGACTTCTTAGAACTAGGAACGGGGCAGATCCTGGCAGGCTGGGATCCGCGCTGGGGGTGGTCTGGTCCGGTGAGCCCAGCCTGGAGGGTGGGGACGGGACTAGGGTGATAGGGCGTGAGGAACTAGCTCCTCACTGGTGCAGCTGGGTGTGAGGGTTCCTCGGGAGCTCTGTGGCCTGGGGTATGTGTCCCACCGCACCCTTGGCGGTTACTCCAGGAGAATTTTATTGACAAAGTCCCAACCTACACACAGCAGGCACCATGCGGGCACCAGCAGCAAGGGCTGGCCTGTGTCCTGTCCCCTCCCGCCCCCAGAGGTCTGGGTGCAGTCACTGGCACAGCCACAGACAGGCCACCGGGCTCCCAGCAGTGTCGCTGAGTGGTGGCGACAGAGGTGCACCCCACCCCAGCCTCACATGGTGCTGGCTGCCACCAGGCCCCCTGGCGCAGTCCACTAGCAGGAGTCGCAGAGGGGCAGCTGTCCAGTGGCCTCCCTGGGTCCGGCTCTGCTCGCGTCGTTTCTTAGAGGGTTTAAACTCTGCAGGAGACGCGTACGGCACTCCTGACCGTTGCCAGCGTACAGCCTGGGAGCTCATGCCTTCTCGTGCAGCGCTGCCTGTCCATCCCCAGACTCCCTTCTCAAACTGAAACTGTCCCCGCTGGGCACGAAGGCCCTGTTCCCTCCCACACCCCTGGCACACACCCCACTCCCTGGAGTTCTGAACCACATGCTCGGGTCCTGGCCTGTCCAATGATGGAAGATTCTGGAGGCTCATTCAGGTGGGGATTCAGGTTTTGTTCTGAAGGCTTTGGGCAGGAACCCATCCTGTGCAGGCTGTGTCCCAGGGACGTGGCAGCCCGTCCCCAGAGCTGGGTCTGCAGCTGTTAGGTACAGAGGGGCCACAGCTCTGGGTCCAGGGGTGGGGGCTCACCTGCCTCAACCACCTGGCTTGCCTCAGCCCAGCGCACCTCCGAGGCCTGAGGCGCTGCCAAGCCACCAGGCGTCCTGGGCACGTCCCCCTCCACGGGACAGCAGGGGTGGGCACTAGGTGGCTTTGAGGAGGGGCAGCGACCTGGTCGTCCTTCAGCCCTTTCCTTGGGAGGGGTCTCACCGCTGTGCACTCTTCCCACATGCGCGACCTCGCCTGTCTGCCACGGGGGCTTGCTCAGGGAGACGAGCTGTCCCTGTGGTGTCCCCATTTCCCACGGCAGCCCGTGCTCTGTTCTCTCACTCACACTCTCTCCGGTCTGCGGGGGCCACCTGTCATCCCCCAGCTGAGAGCCTGTGGCTTCTCCAGCAGAGGCCTAGCTGGGCCCTTCGGCCACTGTCCCAGACTTGCCTGCATCTCTGTCTCCCATCTAAGTGAGACTTAGAGACGCGTGCAGCCAGGGATCCGCCAGGCAGACCAGGACGCCGTGCGAGGCTGTGGGCCGGGCTGGGGGCTGTGCTGATGCTCCTGGGCTGCGTGTGACGGGAGGAGGCCTGCAGCCCCCCTGCTGCCCCCCTGCTGCCTTTTTTTGCTGCGGTGTGGCCTCCCCTACGAGGACGGGGCGTAGTCGGCACACGTCCCCACCTCACCCCTCTCGCCCGCCCCCCTCAGTACATTGACGCCATCAGCAGCAAGCAGGGCGAGCTGGAGGGCTACGTGTCCGACGGCTACAGGACGGCGCTCACGGAGGAGCGGAGGAGGTTCTGCTTCCTGGTGGAGAAGCAGTGCGCCGTGGCCAAGAGCTCGGCCGCCTACCACTGCAAGGTGAGGCTGCGGCGGGAGGGCCGTGGGAGCAGCGGTGCGGGCGGCGGTGCGGGCGCTGGCTGTGCTGCACGGGAGAAGGGGCACTTCTGGGGAGCGGGGGTTCAAAGACGACTAGAAGGTGCCAGTGTGCTACGTTTGAGGATAGTTGTCCCGCGGCCTGCTGAGGAGGGTCTGGGGTGGCTGCGAGGCCCTCCATGGCCCTCCTGCCCCAGGTCCATGCATGGCAAGGACGACACAATGGCCGAGGCCATCTTACCTCCAGCCACAAGCTGCCAGTGCTCCTCTGCGGGCACAAGACCTCCCGGAGCCTGACTGCCCCACACGCTCCACGCTGTGCCTGTGCACTGCCCCCCGCATCCCCGTGATGCCCACATACTCCCCAGCTGAGCCCGCCCAGGCAGGCCCCCCACCGCCGAGACACTTCCCGCTGTGCCCGCACACACCCCCCTGTGGTGCCCTGGCCCTGGGCGTGGCTGCAAGCTGGGGCCCTGCTGTCCACTTTGCCGAAAGCTCCTAACCTTCAGCCAAGAGGCCCGGCTGTCCGAGACCAGGCCTTCGCCAGCCGCTGGGCCTCCTTGCCCCGTGTCTGGCACCTGCCGTGGTCTGGCTGGCTGACGTGCACTTGCCACCCTCTCCCCTCTCTAACCCTGCCCTACCTGGGCCCTGGCTGCCACCCCAGCTCCCTCAGCTCAGGCTGCACCCCCCCACACACTGTGCCTGAGGCCTTCTGGGGTACAGACCAGGGCTCGCGTGGCCCGGGCCTCCATTCGCTGCCACTTACCTCCTGCAGTGAGCTGCCGGGTTCTCGGGCAACACCTGGCTGCATCCTGCCACCCATGGAGCCTGCCGGCTTCTCGGGGTGGGCGACCCCGAGTGCCAGGACCCAGCCTGGACTCACTGCACAAAGGTGGCCTGAGGTCCTGAGAGGCAAGGCCCTCGGGGAGGGGCCAGGCCTCTGGTGGGAGGGGCCGACTTCACCCCGGGGCAGGTAGAGGAGCCTAGAGACGCCCCTGCCGAGAACAGGCAGGCCCTTGATGACTGTCCACCTCGAGGTGACTGTCCTCAGCAGGCTGTCCCCTGGGATACCCAGCACTCCTAGCTCAGGGCGAGGTGAGAAGGCAGAGCCAGGCAGGGAGACCCCACGCGTGATCTGTGGGTCAGCAGGTGGCCACATCCACGTGGTCTGGAGTCCCGGCTGGGACCAAGGAGATGTGCCCCTTCCTCTCCTTGGAGAGCCCGCCTGTTTGGCTGCACAGGACTGAGCATGCCCGCCCGCAAGGCCACCCCAGCTTTGGGTGCAGACGGCCCCAGCACAGTGTGGCTTCTGCGCCCTCTAGTGGGCCACGAGGGAAGCACGGCCGTCTGTGGCTTGCCAGGACCCCGAGGGCCGCAAGGGCTGCTGCCTTGGCTGCCAGCCCCTCTCCCCGCAGCAGCCTACCTGGATGTGCGGCGGCACCTTCCCGGGCAGCTGTCAGCAGCCAAGCCGCCTGCTGAGGGTCTGGGCAGAAGTGCCCTGGTCTGCCCCACTTGGCCATGGAGGCCACAGTCTGTGGCGCGGGAGCTGCTGTGGGGTGCACGTGCTCCAGCTCAGGGGCTCCGTGGTCCCAGAGGGCCCTGCCAGACCCTCACCTCTGCTGCGTGTCCCTTCTAGGGGACAGTGCCTGCCCCAGGGTATCCGTGTCAGCACTGGGCCCTGCTGGCCTATCTGCCTCCCACCACCACCCTCTGTGGTCAGACCACAGACCTGTTCCTCTGCTGTTCACCTGAACCTCAGGCTTGGGGACCACGCAGTCCCTGTCCCCATCGTCATGCAGGGGAAACCACGGGTGTTCTTGGACCAGTGTGGCAGCTGTGGTCGCCTAAGCTGTGTTTGAAACAGGTGGCCAGTCTTGGGCTGGGGTTTGCTGACCCAGGTCCCAACCGGCGATGATGGGGCCACAGGCTGAGGCCCTGTGCGGAGGTCGGCGGGGCACCGGCAGAAGGAGTGAGGGCCAGATGGGCCTCCTTGGACCTGCCGAGACCCCTGCCTGAGCCGCAGCAGCACCTGCGTCTGCCGGGGCCTGGCACCTGTGGGAGCCTTGAGCTCTGTACAGCGCTGGGGCCTGGGGCCAAGAACCCGTGGGGCACTGATACAGGCCCTCCAGCCTGCTGTGCACAGCCGTCCCCAGCCCTGGGAGCTCCCCGGCTGACAGGACCCTCTGAGCCACATGCACGGCCTCAGGCCGTGTGCCTCGTCAGTGCACCGCGTCTACCCGGTCGGTCGGCCCGGAGAGCTGGGCCCCCGGCTGGTGCACAGGAGCTCTGAAGAGGCTGCGCTACCGGGTCGCCCACCCTGTCCTGCTTCCTCACACAGGGCAAGGAGCTGCTGGCTCAGAAGCTGCCGCTGGGG